TTTTTTTTTGAAAGCATATAGTTAGAAAGTTTTGTTTAGTTATACATTAAAGTGACAAGGACTTCTTAATTTAAGTGATATTTCATTAAAGCTCCTCCATTGGAGCTTTCATATTAAATCATGTTTGCGTCCATTCTGGTATGGAAGGTATAAGACATAAGACATGTTGTAGCAAGTTTGATGGTGTCAGTGATGTTGAATTTACTCACACAAATCTGTCAGATGAATATAGTGCATTTATGGACTACTTTTATGATGCTTTTTGTCCTTCTTGAAGCTTTACAGTCATTGCATGAGCTAAGTATACCATTTAATATTTTCTTTCTCCCCACAAATAAATAAATAATTAATGCTGTAAAAAATAAATAAACTATATATATATATATATATATATATATATATATATATAAAATAAAGCAAAATGCCTTGACAAACAATTCTACAATTCTTAATTCTAAACATTACCTCAAAGCGTGCATTTTTACATTTAAAGTGTTCAGCAATGCAAATAAAAACTGCCATCTGGACATCAACAAAGGTGTTTATGGTACAATTGTCTCTGCTCTCTCTGCAGTTTCATCTGCGGTAGGGTACAACGGGGCTAGAGGCCCACCTTAATAAAAAATGTTCATTCACTCCGCCTAAAATGTATAATTGCAGAAAAATATATATGTTGTATTGAACATTAATGGAGCAAGATATTTTGTGTGAATTCATTCAAATTGTTTATTTTGTTTAAAAATCTTATGAATGTATGAGGTGGCAAGAGGGGCCTTTTACCCCACACACGGGGTAAAAGGCTCACCAGCATGGGGTAAAAGGCACACGGTATTGATACAAATACTTCAGCTAAAATAGTGTTTTATTTTTTTATAATGTCTAAGTTAATACTTGTTCAAAACAACCACTTTAGCAAAGTCTGTACTATTTTATGCTTATTTTGTAAAGTAAAATATAATTTTTTTTCAATAAATATACTGTAATTAAAATATGTTAATATAAAAATATATTTTAAAATACAGAAACAAAATTGTTTTAATAAGTAAAGATTCTGAAAGTATTGAAGGAGATCCAATAATAATTGAATATATATTTGCAGTAGTAACAACAAATTATATTTTAATATATTATATGATTAATATCATGTTTTTAAATATGATGGTTTCATTCTAAACATGGTGATTATCTCTAATATGGACACCTAACATAATATATGATATTTACCATCTGAATCTAACCATGTCATGTCAACAAATGGAAAGCCATCTGTTAATTATCATGTTAATTACTGTGCGCCTTTAACCCCAACAGCAGGGGCACTTTTTACCCCAAATACCATACTTATACATATTGATTCGTTATTTAAAAACTGTTGCTTTAATTATCTTAAAGGGGTCATGTGATGCGATTTCAATTTGTCCTTTCTCTTTGGAGTGTTACAAGCTCTTGGTGCATAAAGAAGATCTGTAAAGTTGCAAAGACTTAAGTCTCAAAACCAAAGATGTATTCTTTATAAAAGTTAAGAGTTAACCACGCCTACCTAAAACGACTCGTTCTAACACGCCCCCACATACCTACGTCACGATCTGGGAAGGTTTGCATAACGCCGCCCAAATGTTCACGCAAAGAAAGAAGGCGTAACTTTTATTCTCACTGTAGTATTGTTGACGCTGCAGCCATGTCCTGAAGATGCTGTGTGCTTCGTTGTGAAAGCAAAACTACTTTGTTTGGTCTTCCAAAAGAAGACGATAGAAGACGATATCCGCTTCGTCATGCCTGGAGCTGAGGGAATACATCAACTTTCACCGTGGACAAACCGGAGTCCAGCCCACCTCAGCTCACTCTATCCCGGCCTCAGCACACGCTAAGCCGGGGCTTCCCC